GGGCAAAGGACCTAAATAGACACTTCTCCAAAGAGGACATACAGATGGCCAAGAGACATATAGAAAAATGTTCAAAGTCACTGATCATCAGAGAAATGCAAATTAAAACGATAATGAGGTATCACCTCACACCTGTCAGAATGGCTACCATCAATAAATCAACAAATGACAAGTGCTGGCAAGGATGTGGAAAAACGGGAACCCTCGTACACTGCTGGTGGGAATTATGGCTGGTATAACCATAATGAAAAACAGTATGGAGTTTCCTCAAAAAATTAAATATGGAACTGCCATTTGACCCAGCAATCCCACTTCTAGGAATATCTTAAGAATCCTGAAACAGCAATCAGAAAGAACGTATGTACCCCTATCTTCATAGCAGCACAATTTGCAATAGCTAAGATCTGGAAACAGCCCAAGTGCCCATCAGCAAATGAGTGGATTAAAAAGCTGTGTTATTCCATTTGTGACATGGAATACTATGCAGCAGTTAAAAAAAGAATCGCTTACCCTTTGAGACAGCATGGAGGGACCTTGAGAATATCATGCTAAGTGAAATAAGTCAGTCAGAAAAAGATAAGTATCACATGATCTCACTCATATGTGGAATCTAAGTAACAAAATAAACTGATGAACGGAGTGGATCCAGAGACATGGAAGCATGGAACAGAGTGCAGACTCTCAGAGGGAAAGCCGGGGAGTGTGGGTAGGTGGGAGGTAATCAATCAAAGACCTTGTATGCATATATTCATAACCCACAGACACAGACAATAGGATGCTGAAGACCTGGGTGGAGGACAGGGGCAGGCTGCAGGGGTTCCATGGGAGGGAAAGTGGGGACATATGTAATACTTTCAACAATAAAGATTTATTTAAAAATAAAATGATCTCAAAGACATTTTCCAGAAAGCAAAGGCAAGCTGCCTTTGTCCTGGTCTAGATTAATTTAGCAAATCCTCTCCCCTTAAACAGCCAGTTGTGAATAGACAGTAATGCCATTGAGCAATGAGTGAGCAGCTGAGCCAATGTAACCAGTGTAGTACATATTATAAAAACATAAAACTTACAGCAAAGTTAATCAGACACATATTTAATGATATGCATAATTGTTATTGTGCTGCACAGTAACTAGGCATAAATGGTAGACATTTCATGTAAATGACTCTAATTACTTTTTTTTTTAACACAGGCAAACCAAGCATGTCTAGGATCAGATTCAGAGGAAAACATGAAGGAGGGTAAAGCTGGATATTTAACTCTGGGAGGTCTTTCTCTTATTCCATACCCTTAGGCACTAAGCTACTGGTCTCCCAACCTGGGTCATGTATTTTCAAGAGTAACTTTTTCCACTCCGTTTTTTTTCTTTCTATACTGCTTGTTTTATTTATTTATTTATTTATTTATTTGTCTTATGTCCATTGGTTATGCTTATATGCATGCATACAAGTCCTTTGGTTGATCTCTTACCCCCCTACCTCCTGCCCTCCAACCCTCCCCGGCCTTCCCGCTGCAGTTTGACAATCTGTTTGAGGCAGCGCTGCCTCTGTATCTATTATTGTTCAAAAGTTTATAATGGTCTCTATTATCCATGAATGGTCCACTCCATATTAAGAGAAGCATCCTTTTACCAAAGGTAAAAAAAAAATTAGGCTGAAGGCTTGGCCTTTGTCTTCAGATATAAAGCTTAGAGGAACCAGAACAATTACTACTTCTGGCAAGGATGACAGGGGCAGGCAAGCTGGTAGAGAAATCAAATACACAGCAAACTTACTGAGGACCTATGCCAGGCACACTAGTAGGTATTTTACATAATTTTTCTAACTTCCCACCCTACCTACAGCCCCAAATTCTGTTCCTAGAGAATGGGATAGGTCTAGTGAGGACTCCCTCCTCCAAATTCTCTCATAAGGCCTAAAATGTCACCAGAGGGTAATTTAGGTTATTAGCAAGCTAACACCACTAGGAAGATTAAGAGGAAGCTGTTGTTTAATGCTGTTTCCCTTGCTTCCTATCTTATCTAACCCACAAGAAGATATAGGGACCCCTACTTTCGTATGGGTTTATCCAAATCTATCCAGTCTTTACAGCCCAGGCTTTTCAAACTCATTTATTTCTGGACCTCAATGCTGAGTAGGTTGTTGACACAGACAATACCAATTGGGTAAGCATGTTTGGTGAGATACACATGACAGTATCTTCTTTCTCTGGTCACCAAATGCCTAGCCCCAGAATTCTTTCAGCCATTGGAACTCTCTGCTAAAAATCAGACTAAAGAGCTATGTCAAATTAAACTGCATCTAGAATCCTAGGCCTTCAATGCTCTTCTATTAAAAGATGTTGATGACCAGATTTAGGTCTTCACCTTTCATTGTATTTAAGACTACAATGCTATTCATAAAGAACCTTAAAAATTATGACAAAATATTTGACCTAGTAATTCACTATTGTGAGTAGTAACAGCACCTGAAAGTTCTTAAGTACTTACTGTATGCTAGGCACTGTGCTAGGCATTTCCTTAAAATACTCAATCTCACAAAAAACAAATAAGGTCATTACTACTATTACTTGATAGATGAATAAAGGAAAGCTTGGAAACTAGTTAGGGTCACATAACTCTAGTGACAGAGGTCACTAGATTAATTGAACTCCAGAGCCCCCCTTTTTTACTACCACCCAAACTAGAAATATATCCTTAGAAAAATGACCCCAAAATATAGCAACAACTTTAAGCATAGGAGGCTCAATGCCATGCATATGGCAACTTGAAGCATTCTAAACACAGTTAAGAAAATGGAGGCAATTTGGATTACAAAATATTACATAGGCATTAAAATGTTTTTACATCTAACTTTTAGCGACTCATGAAGGAAATGTTATGCTATAAGTAGAAAAAGCAAAATACAAAACTTTACATTAGTCAAATCTCAACTATATCAAAATTGTCTGCACATGGAAAGACCTAAATTTACTGTTAAATTAAAAAAGACAAGTTGCAGAATAATATAGGACTTAGGCCAGTGTGGTCAGTGGGTAGAGCATCAGCCCGTGCACTGAAGGTCATGGGTTTGTCAGACCACAGACCAAAGGGTCCTGGCCAAGGGCACATACCTGGGTTGCAGGTTTAATACCTAGCCCTGCAGGAGGCAGCCAATCAATGTGTCTCTATTATCGATGTTTCTCTCTCCATCCTCTCTCCCCCCTCCTCCCTCCATTCCAGTCTCTTTAAAAACTTGAATAAATAATGGAAAAAATTATCCTCAGGTGAGGATTAACACACACTCAAAAAAGGTAACCAATAGCTTCAGGGGGATACAGTAGAGACATGTAGCACATGAATGGAAATTAGAAATATTTTTCAGCTGCTGTCTTTAGGTAAGAATTTAGTTACACACACACACACACACACACACACACACACACACACACACACAGCACTTATTTTGAATTGAAAATGGGCAACTCCAGATCTTAGTTCCTCAAGTTCTACAGGGGTCTCAATATTTGAATATATAAGCTGAAATGCAAAGTCCATGGCACTGCACTGCATTTTGGCCTACTATGGCAAAGAACAAGTTGAAACATTAAAAAGACAGAAGATTTCCCCCTTCCCCTGCTCTTCAGGTATGTGCCACAAAATAACATACCTGCCAAAATAATAAAGGACATGAAAAGTACTAAAAACTAATTAGATAGAAATCAAAACAAAAAACAACTATAACTTTGAAGAATTGTCTCTTTTTTTCTGCACTGTATTGTATAGAATTACAAAACTATCACACAGACAGATATCCTTACCTATATCTTGCCCCACCAGCCCATTACAGTACATGGCATGTCGCTCAATCTTTGTGGGTGGGAAGCCTTTGTCACATAGTGGGCAGGATACCTTGGAACTGGATGAGAAAGTAGAAGAAGGTATTTCCTTCTCAGCATCTTCCCTGTTACCAACCTAAAGAATATGACAAACAGCAATTGTAACCGCTTTACTTTATAAAATAATATTTCTTTGGGAGAACTGCAAAAACTCCATCCATACTTCATTTACTTTCAGAGACAATACCAATTAGTTTGCAAATTCAAGACTGAGGTTTGAGAGATAACAGTCAATAGCTATTCAGTGCCTGCTCCCTATGTGCTAAGTACTCTGCATGTAATATTCATTTAATCCTCATAGTGATCTAACAAAGGTATTAACATACCTTTTTACACATGAGATAAGCATTGTCCAAAATAGTAAAACAAATTGCCCAAAGTTACGGAACAAATAAGTGACAGAGCTAAAATTTAAACCAAGGACTATCTGGCTCAAAAAACTGAGGGCATTCCTCTATCACGCTGCAAGGCACTGTTCCCCTGGGTCAGTATATGTGTATGCAGTGTTTCAACAGTCTGTATACCAACAGCACCTTAAAGACACTTTTTCAATCTCACAAAAGAACTGTGATATTTTACATAAGGAGTTAGAAAACAAAAGAACTCTAAGCAAAAGAAGCACAATTAAAATTTAAGAACCTAGGTCTCTGCTTACACCAATAAGACATACCACCTCTTGTGTTTTATGACTTTTGGACTGTTTTAATACAACTAAGACCCAATATTTGAGAAGGCCAAATAAGTCATTAAGACATTTCTGCTGAAGCCATTTTTTAAAATATGTTTTTTATTGATTTCAAAAGGAAGGGAGAGAGAAAGATAGAAACATCAATGATGAGAGAGAATCATCAATAGGCTTCCTCTTGCACACTCCCTACTGGGGATCGAGTCTACAACCGGGCATGTGCCCTGACCAGGAATCAAACCTGGTTCATGGGTCAACGCTCAACCACTGAGCCACACCAGTCAGGTCTGCTGAAGCCATTCTTACATCTTATCTCTCTTGTTCCTCTTCTTGTGCTATTATAGTCATCATTTTTTTCAATAGTTGCCAGTGTCTCTCAGAGGCAGTTTTATGTTACCTTACAGATCAGAACTGAGAACTCTGCAGTGATTAATTCAACAGTATGCATTAAGCACTTCAGTACTACTGCCTAACACTTGCTTCAAAGGACAGCATGTCCTGTCCAATCAATGTGAAACTGTCCTAGTAGCCACTGCTTCCATTTAAAAGCAAAGGCTGTCATTATGCCTTACTACAGGAAAAAAATAAACCATCTTCTAGTACAAGAACAAAACAGGACCAAAACTGCAATGGGGTAGATAATTTGAGCTCTGAAACAACTGGGTTTGGGGTGTGGGGGTTGTCTCTAAGTTTAGGCCATCCTGAAATCTACTGCAGTGAATGTGATCCATCAGAGAGGGAAACAGGTCATCTAAATACCAAATCAAACAATTTCTACAATTGCCAAAATATGTTGTTTTCAACACATGTTTTATACTTAAAAAGACATATTCTGAAAGGGAAAAAAAGGAAAGACGAAAAAGGAACTAACAATGGTTGAGTTCCTATACTATGCCAGGTTTGACCAAACATTTTCCATAATCATCTCTCACAACAACCCAACTGACAAAGGTGTCTCGAGCTCCAGTATTACAGAAGAGGAAATTGAGGCTTAGAAAGACAAAGTAACCTACTGATCACAAAGTTACTAATAGGCAATCTAGACTCAAACCCAGGCCTGTATGATAACAAACCTTCAGGATTTCCATTTTACCATGGTGTGGCAAAAGCAAAAGTCACCCTCTTCCACTTTGTTTCTGAAAGCTGACTCTGTCAGGTACTGGGAGACTATATGATCCTATTATTCTCCTATAGGAAGTGGGTCTAGAACAGCTGTGGGCAAACTATGGCCCACGGGCTGGATGCGGCCCGTTTCAAATGAATAAAACTAAAAAAAAAAAGACCTACCCTTTTACGTAATGATGTTTACTTTGAATTTATATTAGTTCACACAAACACTCCATCCATGCTTTTGTTCCGGCCCTCCGGTCCAGTTTAAGAACCCATAGTGGCCCTCGAGTCAAAAAGTTTGCCCACCCCTGGTCCAGAAGTTCTAGGTGTTGTTTATTCCAAGCTTAGTCACTGAGCTTCTTAAAAATACAGGTTATTCTGTTCATAAATTTTATAATGAAAAGTCATCTTGTACATACAAAGCCATTTGAGCAGAGGGGAGAAAATCAAAGATACCGATAATTTGCAAGTAGTCTTGAGGTGTTGAAAGTTAGTGTCGCCTGCGCAGTTGCTTGGCCTTCTAAAGTTCACCAAGCACAGAAATATTACATGACATGAATGTCAGTGTTCACGCCCAGTACTATCCTCCTTTGCATTCATCACCAGCACTATAAAATGTGGATAATGTACCTTCAATTCTTAATGTATTCAAGAGGGAGTAGTCTATTACTGTCTTATTGTGAAGATAAGACCACTTCCAATCACACTCATAGGCAACCCAGGTTTCTGAACATTTTTATATTAAAATAAGATTTTTCTAGCACAATTAAAATGGTCTTTTTATATATTAACTATAGGGGGGGTGAGTGAGGAGTGATAAACTGGGGAACTTATATTCATATATGGACACAGACAATAGAGTGAAAGGTCTGG